GCCTTAGTTTTTTTTTAAATTTGCAATGCCCATGTTCTCTCTCTTTTTCTTCTTTTCATCCTTTCTCTCTTTTTCTTCCTATTTCTTCTTCTTTTTCTTTTTTCTCTCTCTTGTTTTTTCCTTCGTTTCTCCTTTTGTCCCCCAATGTTTATCTTTTTTCTCTCACTACTGAAATTTCCTGCGTCTGAAGGTAAATTTAGCCCAAGGAGTTTTCAAATCCTGAATTCGTCCCTAGATGGAGTCATGATTTCATATTACAAGACCTCTCTAAAAAAAAAGAGAAATCTATCATCTAAGATAGAGAGAATTAGAGACCGATTGACAAGATAAAATATAGATGAAAAAAAAAGAGAGTTTTAACGGTATTTATTATCAAATAACTTTAGCATGTGATAATAATACTAAAAAATATCACAAAAATGCTTATATGTTGTAAATGGGGATGGGGCACTAGGTGAAAGTGAAAGCAAAATTTATAGAGAAGTTGAAGACTTTGTTATGAGCCTATAGTCTAGGTATAACGACGTATTAAAAGATGTGGTTGGAGTCTCTACTGTTGAGAAGAAATGAGTGAGTGCATTACATCTATAAATAAACGCTGTTGACACCGTAACTAACCGAGCAACTAGCTAAGCAAGATTAGCCACGTGCCATGCTTAGAGAGGTCATCACCTTCACCAAAGAAGCCTTGCCACATGTCACCATTAGGGGCAATGTCAAGAGTCCCACATTGGAAGACTACAAGAAGTTGAGACTCCCCTTCACCTATAAAAGAAGACTGCTCTCCTCTTAGAAAGGGATCCCCGATCCTATCGGATCCGATGCCACCCTATCCTAGGCTGGGCTCTCTCTTCAGGACTCTCCTGCTAGCCTGGCCTTCGGGTCCTAGGTCTTCGGACCCGGGGACTTGACCCCTAGGCTTCAGGTTCCTAGCTTTGTACCTTAGGCCCTAGGCCTTCTTCCATTTATCCTTGGGTCTAATCCCCTTATACAAATGTAAACAATATCATAATGAGAACATCTTATCCGTGGACGTAGCCCATTCATTAAGGGTGAACCACGTATATCTTGTCTTTCGTATATTTATAAATTGGCCAAGTTCTCACATACATGATGAAGGTCCACACCTTCACCCATCATCTATCACACCTCATCACTAAGTTGGACTCAATCTTGACCCAACCATTTTGAGCATCAACAAACGCAATGTATTTGAGTTGTATCATAAACGTATTTACAATTCTACTATTATATAATTTAGCAGTCTCATGTTCTCTCTATTTTACAATATTATTCATCTTATAAAATTTCCAGAGCAAGCAGAAATAATAATCCAAACCAAAATCAGATGGACGGAAAATTTGTAACTTGGGGTGGGTTTGTAGTACTTGAAAAAAAAAGGAAAATTACCTTAAGCCCAAAACCCCAAAAGCTGAGGGGCAGACTTGAATCACTCAGCAAAGCAGAGAGCAGACAGCAATGGAGTCTGAGGTGAGTTGTGCACTCTTTCTTTCGCCTTATGGATTGCCTTCACTTTCCCAACACTGAATAAATTTTTTCGCGTTTCTCAGAAACCAAGTTTCGAACCGTTTCGGCTGTTTTCATCATCAGGGTCTGGATTTCTTGAACAATCAGAGCCCCCTCTTCCCCCTCTTCCCCCTCCGCCTCCTTGCGTCGAAGTGTTGCCCTCCGAGGTATTTAATTAATTGGTTTATTTTGCAAATTCAAGCACACGCCTACATAAGTTTCGAGATATGATACTGAACAATTGATTGATTTTAATGTGGAATAGATTTTGCCCTCTGTGAAGTACACTGTGGAGCCAGTGGAGTTGGGTGGATTTACTTTGCTCAAGGTCACTCCTTTCTTTTTTCATTTCTGTTTGGTTTCCCATAAAATGGAGCATAGTAAAGGAGCTATATAAAGGAATATAAAATTTCATTGTTATCCCTATGTACTTTCCTTTTAAGGAAAAAAAAAATGTTGCCCCTTTGAGTAGAAAGTTCTGATAATCTATCAAATTAAGCTTAATCTGAGTGTAAATGGGAGTGAGAGTTCATGTGTGTTTTGATTGTAGGGACGCGTTAGTACTCAAGAGGTTTTCACGCTATCCAACTCCGATTTAGTTCCTGGGAAATATGAAGGTGTATAGAGTTCTTCCTATCTTTTTTTTTGCTTTGTTAATAGTGATTCTAGATTGAGTTTGTAATATTCTGCATTACAAATGTTTATCCTATTTATGAAATGCTGTTGCATCAAATGGTGACGGTATGTCTTTTGCTTTTGGGGTGCAGGGGTATTAAAGCTATGGGAAGGTTCTGTTGATCTAGTTAAAGCTCTTAGCTCTGAAGTTCAAAATGGACATTTATCGTTTACCGGTAAACGAGTTTTAGAGGTGGGCATCCTAATATTTTCAGGTGAATGTATACTGTCCCATGATGCATACATATCTTAACATTCTTCATGTTACTTTGCGTGGTAGTCTAATGTTCAAGTGTAAATAAGTTGACTTTTATTCGTAAGTGAGACATACGCTTCTTTACCTCGAAGTCCTTACAAAGAGAAACTAGTTTGGCTTCTGGTCGCATTCCTGCTTACTTCATTCAGAGTGCAAGGTTTCCTCACTAAGTATTACTCCATTAATTTCATTTTCACACATCGTAGAGGGGAACTCTTGAAATCTCTAGGTGCCTTTTAATTGTTAATAACAGATGGCTAGGTCAACTTTTTGGTGCTCTTATATCCTAGCTTAGAACATTCAGTTAACTTGAATGAACTGCAATCTCTTCGTGATACATTAACAAATGGTTTGATGACAAATAGCCTGAACACTTTAACCGTTGTTAGAGGTAACACTATGTTCTGTTGGATTAGATGGAAGTTATGTTTAGTTGGAGTCTTTTTATGGGCTCTAACATATAACTTCTGAAGAAGTTACATCCCTTCATTTGAATGAATATATCTCTTCACATCTTCAGACACATCATTTAATTAGGTGTTAATTGGTGTACCTTCGCAAGTCATTCATGAAGCTACATCGTCATTGATCAATAATCAGCATATAACTCATATATCACTACTACTACAAGTGATTATCTCTGATGAGTGATTTCCTGGTTGGCATAGATTGAGGCCACTGTCTTTTATCTTGTTCTCCAATTTCTCACTATGCCTTACTGTGTTTCCTATCATGATTTTTCAGCTTGGTTGTGGTCATGGACTTCCTGGTATCTTGCTTGCCTTGAGGTGAGTTTTTGTTTCTTAAGCTCGTACATTTGGTTTCATATATTAGTTTCTTAAGATTCTTCATTGTTGTTTCAGGGTGCAGCTGCCATTCATTTCCAGGACTTCAATGCGGAGGTCCTGCAGTGTCTTACCATGCATAATGTAAATTCAAATGTTCCAAGGTTCCAATGCCCAGCACTGCAAGTTACAAAGTGTGATGCAGGGACGGAAATTCGTTTTTTTGCCTGGCGACTGGTGTGAAATCCATAAGCTTCTTCCCTATGCACAAAACATTGAGAAGGATCGTAGTGTTAGTAGAGGGAAAGGTCTAGATGCTCAGTATGATATTATTTTAATGGCAGAGACAGTTTACTCAATCTTTGCTCTCCCACATCTCTATGAACTCATAAAGAAGGTATTTCTTTTTTAGTTTGTCATTATTTATGATTCAGAACTGTGAACTTGCAGCTGCTGTAGGTCTGATAATGTTTAATTTACAGTGCATAACTCCTTCTCATGGAGTAGTATACGTGGCTGCCAAGAAGCATTATTTTGGAGTCGGTGGGGGAAATCGAAGGTTCCTATCCATTGTGGAGAAAGATGGTAAGCTAGTCTGAATTATCTAGAAAACCACTTAGAATCCATCTCACCGCAGAAGTAGTCTCTTATTTGTTTTCTACCCTATGCCTTTGGTTCATGTTACTGGGATTAAGGGCGGTATACTACATTCATGTATGAGTAGGGTTTTGTCGTTGTAATTAAAATATTCATGGTTCCTTTGTTAAATATATGTGACAATGTGGTTATTGACTGTTGTCAAGTAATTTATATCTATACATTATTGTTTTTGGAAGTAGGCCTCTCTTCTTATAGAGTCCACATCACCATCCTTGTCTCAGAGTGATATCTTTACAGATGCTTAAATAAGAAATTTGAAATATTTTTTGTTGAAATTCCTTTATGCAAGGGTCATGGCTTCTAGCATGGTCGCTGAAGTTGCAGATGGTTCTTCTAATGTCCGAGAGGTATGGAAGCTTTCGTTTACATAGGCATGGAATTCATGTGGATCAAACACTGTCCTTATTTTTCAATTCATGTGGAATTCATGTGGAATTCATTTGGCCACTTACCTCCTATATGAAGAATCAAATATTGTAATCGAAATTAGAAGAATCAAATGTTACAGTTGTTAGGCTATATTCAGACAAGAAGGATGTAGAGAATATTTGGTAATTAGATAATTTCTCTTCTCTAAACCTCTTTTATTTTTCTTTTGATTTACTGTGTCCTATGTAATGCAAATCCTTACTTTTTCAGTCCAAAAATAGAAGTTTTTCTTTAATTATTTATATTTAGTTGATTTTTTTTTTAATGGGTTCATCGTTCTTGTTTCTTTCATTATTGTCTGTCGCCGATAAATTATAATTTGGCTGGATGCTGAATTTGTTGTGTTGCAATTTTCATTGAATATAGGTATTGTAACACTGAAATGACAACTAATATCACTCCGATGTGTCAATATAACATTATGCCGAATCGTAAATTCTTGATATCTCTTCATTCTTGAACTCACACTACGAACTAAGAGCAGTGTAAAGATTTGGATGTGATTGATAGCTCATGGGAGAGTTGGTACCTGTGAAAAGGATCCTGTTCTTGTTTATGGATCCATCGGTGAGATTAAGAATATTGAATGTATTTTTCAGCACCAAGGATCCTATACTTGTTTGAAACCACTGCATTTCATTTCACTAATATTGCGTGGTCATACAAGTTTAGAATCCAATGGCATAATTAGCAGTTAAAAGATTTAACAGGATTCTAGCAGTCTCATGGGGAACTATTCTGCAGATACAACATGCTTTTAGGACGCAAACCTCTCAAAGCTTTTAGGGTTTCCACATCAAGCATCACCCCTTGTTCGATCATTTCCTCAACGAGCCTCAAAGCTTCACCTATCCTTTTAGCTTGCATATAGCCGTTGACCAAGGATTTGTAGCAAGAAGCAATATCAGGGACATTATCTTTTATCACCATTAAATCAATGACCTTCTTTGCCTTATCCATTTTGCCACGAAAACAATAATCATCAATTAGCATACTGCAAGTTATTTTGCTCAGCTCCATACCATATTTAACTTTGGCCTCAACTACTTTATGAGCCTCTTCTGGCATCCCTCCTTGGAAGAGAGCATCCAAAAGTATTCTCAAAGTTATGATATTAGGTAAGACTCCCTGAACTACCATTTCATCAAACAACCTTGTGGCTTCAGCCCATTGATCTGTACGGCACATGCCATAAATTAGAGTGTTGTAAGTGACAATGTTAAGCCTCATACCTCTTTGGGACATTAGCTCTAACACGGAGAGCGCTTCCTCAGTCCGTGTCTCCTTGCAAAGAGCATGTATTACAGTGTTAAAGGTTACAACATTTGGTGCAATTCCTTCATCCAGCATTCTATTAAACAACCTTGTGGCTTCTTTCCATTGCGCGGAATGGCAGAGGCTATTAATTAAGGAGTTGTAGGTGACGAGATCAGGCTTTACACCTCTAAGGAACATTTCTTCCACAAGTTTAAGTGCCTCTGCTGTCTTCCCTTCCTTGCACAAAGCATCCAACACAGAACTGAATGTAACAACATTAGGCAAGGCTCCACAATCAATCATGTTTCTAAATAGCAGCACAGCCTCTTCCCACTTACCAGACTTGCATGCAGCACAAATTAAGGAATTGAAAGTGAAAACGTCAGGCTTTATGCCTTTGTTTTTCATTATTTCAAACAGAGCAAGTGCTCGTGTCCAAAGACCCATGTTGCATAATCCATAAATTAATGAACTGTAATTGATGATATCCGGCGCAACACTTTTGTTGATCATATCTCGAAATAGGGTCAGCGCCTCATCTATTCTTCTTTCTTTGCATAATCCATAAATTAATGAATTGTAACAGAATTTATCTGGCGCAACACTTTTGTTGATCATATCTCGAAATAGGGTCAGCGCCTCGTCTATTCTTCTTTCTTTGCATAAGCGGTCAAAGATTGGATTATAACATTGAGGGTCAGGCTTATACCTTCCATCTTCATACATTTGCTCGAGTATCTCAAGCGCCATACATGTTTTCCCAGCTCTGCACAACCTATTAATTATAG